AGGAAAACTTGAAATCGCATCATATGACCCCTTTAAATAGAATTATGGATCATCTGTACATAATTTGTGTTTGATACCCTTACAGCCAGATATTAATTTACTCCCCATATTGTGCTGACAAAGTCAGGTGGGAATCATGGGAAGGGATACTTGACTGTGTAAAGGAAAGTAAGGTAAATGCAGGAAGAAGGGATGGGGGTTTCGAAAAGATGGGACAAATGAACAGTACCTGCAGGGGTGAAGGTGAACGACTGAACTGCAAAAACAAGAAGACAGAGAAGAGTGTGTGTTAAAAAGCCTGCAGTGCTCAGTCGGCTTTGGAAGGTTTGTGTGTTTCTGTGCGTGTGCATGTTTATTCGCATGCATACTGGAGTGTGTTCGAAGGTTTGCGTTATGCCATCAGAGTCAAGACAGCAAGACAGCAGCCAAAGAAATGAGACAGTCTCACACAGAAGACACACAAACACACTTAAAATAAAGTGTAAACAACCCAACAAACAAAAAAAAAGACTGTGTTTCAGTGGCAACTGGTGCTTTTCAAGAATGGCGAAGCACAGATATAACTTATAAATGGGAAAATGTGAACTTTCTTTTTTTAATTATTATTATTATTTTTTTTATATCTACAATGTTGTTTCCAAGTACTAATAAACAGTTGAAGTTTTATTATAATTTAGAATTGTGTTTTTTCTTAACCCTCATGTTGTGTTCTGGTCATTTTGACCTGGAAAATGCTAGTTCATTTTATTGCATTGGACTAAAACCTACTGACTTTGCTCACACAGGATATAACAACGTCCCTCCAAATAACTGAATCATTTTTGTACTTTTTTCTCCACCTTGTTAGACTTAGTGTTCCTGGACAAAAATATCTGGCCTACAAAAAAATGCTTATGAATTTCTTGTTATGCTATATCATCAAATATTATCAAAAAATATATAAATAGTCTTTTTATCAACTTGTTTTTATCAACTTTCAATTAGCACATGTTTTGTATTTCATTTTGGAACTGATTGATCGTAGGCCTCACTGATCTATGCTTCTGCGCCTCAGATTTTGAGTGAACATTGCCAAAATGATCCACAAATAATGCTTTTTTCACCAAAAAAAAAAAAAAAAAAACTCAGATCACTGAAGCCTACAAGCAGTCAGTTCCAGAAAGAAATACAAAACCTCTCCTAATTGAAAGAAAACGTGTTGATATAAAGCTTGAATCCAAGATTTGGTGATAATATAGCATAATGAGAGATTTACAAGCACTTTTTTTAAAAAGGGAACAAAACAAATTAGATAAAGGATTTTCAACACAGCAAAAGGGTTAATGTAAATATAAATTTTCCAATTATTGGCCATTTGTGGCAAAGTCCTGTCCATTTGAGAGCTTGAACAAATCATCATATAGCAAAGCTGGGACAAAAACTCATTGATTGAAAGCCGAATACATCCCATTCAAAAGCTTTAATAATACAAATAAGGACTCGGAACGGTACTTTAGAGCCTCTTATCTGATGAACATTAAAGAGCACTGGAATCTGCCATAGATTCCCAGTAAAGCATGGGCTCTATTGGCCATGGTTTAATTTGCTAAAATACTGCCATTATTTGTATTATTTGTTCTAAACACATCATTGACGCATTTTTATTACATTATAGGGGAAGATGTGCTTCCCGTGCCATCTGAAAACATTCGCCACTTTGTGTTTGTGTAGCTGCAAGCAGATCTGGTCTCTACCTGCGTAATTGCTGAGACCCTTTCTCTTCTTTCTCCTCCAGTAGAGCCAGATGCTGAAGCCCATCAGAATGACCCAGCAGGCCCCTCCGATGCCTGCGATGAAGGCCGGCTGCTTCACCACATCCGTGATCTGCTCTGTGATGCTGTTGTTCCTGCTCATGATCACATCCCGGAAGTCTTTACCTACATGAATACACACACATACGCAGGAGAAAACCGCTATTTAGTAAACTGAAAATTGTGGGTGAGTTTCTAAATTAGTTTAATAGCACGAGAAAAACACTTGTGCTCCAGTGAACATCAGCACAGAATTTAATCAACTCAACTAGAGCGTTAAAAGCTCATCACCTTGATCTTTAGCGTTACTTCAGTGAACAGAACAGACAAAACCTTAAATAAACAGTACAAGAAAACAGTATTCACAGCACATTTAATTTCCTTAATGTGATATTATTTCAATATTCATCAGAAATCATGTTAGATTGGATGGAATTATGTTAAATTATGTTAAATATTAATGGTTAATATTACGTAATCCCGTCCCACCTCAGCAAAAAAAAAAATAATAAAATAAACAAAACACAACATGCTGTATAAATAACACAAAACAGTATTTAAAGTACATTTAATTTCCTTAATGATATATTATTTGAATATTCATCAGTAATACTGATACATGGTTAATATTACTTAACCCCACCCACAAACAAAAGGGGGGCGAGAAAGTTGATAAAATGTTATAATAACAAACTTTTTTTTCCTTTTGAAGTCATGAGCACATTAATTATTTACAATAAAACTAGGGATATTTATTAGAGCTAAAAAAAAGATAGCTAAATCAGCCCTTTTTTTTTTTTTTTACTTCAAAAGCTGGTAGGACACACACATACACACAAACTGCAGTCTTGATAAATAGTCTATCAGCCCCTGGCTGTGCGTGAAGATGGATAGTGAGCTTGGCATTTGGGAATAAGGGCATGTCACCGGCCAAATCATCACTTATGGGTCAAACCAGTCACAACCTGCTACAACTCACATAACTCAGTGTAAACACCCAAAGACCTGGAAAAAAAATCTTCAGCCCTGACCGTGAGATTTAATTTTGATTCTGGTGACCCCGCTCAAAACCATTCAATGAATAGTGAGCTTTTATGATATTTCGGACCATCACAGATAAAGGGTAGATGCAGTGTGACAGTAAAGGTTATCGAAACCAAAAGATGTCCCGTACCAATAATGATGGTTTGTGGTTCGCTCTTCACCCCCACCCCTGCGCTGGTGCTGGCGGCCACCTCCACCCGGTACTGGACCCCCGCCTGGAGACCCCCCACCACCACTGAACGGATGGCTGCGTCCACTGTCTTATTTACATGGAAACGGGTCTCGTTCCCTAAACACCAGATCTGAGTGAGAGAGAGAGAGAGAGAGAGAGAGAGAGAAAATAGCAAATTGTCTGTAAAAAGTTATTTTTAATGATTGGGCCTCATTAACGAAAATTTTTTTGTTTAAATTACTCGTAAATCCATTTTTATGTAAATTATTGCATTCAATTCAGTACAGTTATTTATGTATGAATGGATTTACATATAATTGATACAGAAATTGTTCTGCTTGTGTTTCATAAATGAGGCCCATTTTAAACAAAAGTAAATAACGTAAACAGTTATCTAGTATGCGCTTCTATCCAAAACGACTTATCGTACAATTATTATTTATTGAGTTTAGCCACTTGAAACAACTTCAAATGTATTAAAATCTTAGGAAAAATTTACTTAAACCTACAACTTTTTAGTAACTAGTGCAGATTTTACGACATCACCTAACCCAATGTGATATAATACTTACATTATAATTACAACAATTACATTATATATAGAAAATTATAATATAATATTCAATATTCTCAGAATTGAAAGTGCAAGATTATTTGGATTTTTCCTTAATACTGTAAATATTATAATATAATATATGTATGTATGTATGTATGTATGTATATATACTGTATATATATATATATATATATATATATATATAAATACATACATCGTAGCGAACATATATATATACATATATACAGTATATATACACATTTTTTTTCATAACTGAGAGCATAAAATGTATTAAATTTTGTCCTTATACTGTAAATAATACAGTAATAATAATAATTGCACAGATAATTAATAATATAATATATATATATATATATATATATATATATATATAAATACATACATCGTAGCGAACATATATATATACATATATACAGTATATATACACATTTTTTTTCATAACTGAGAGCATAAAATGTATTAAATTTTGTCCTTATACTGTAAATAATACAGTAATAATAATAATTGCACAGATAATTAATAATATAATATAATACAATATTTTTTCCCAGAATTAAGAGTGCAAGTCTATTTTGATTTTTATTGCTCAAGTTGCATGTGATTGTTGGTGTCTCTGATGGAGTCACATGGCATTTACCTTATATTCCTGGATGATGCCGTTCTGATGTTCTGCAGGAGGAGGGTCCCAGGAGATACTGATGGATGTACTGTTCTGATTGCCCACCATGAGGACCGTCACCTGCTGAGGAGGAGCACTGGGTGCTGGGATACAGAGAGAGAAACAGAAACACAGGGTTTTACTTCCATGGCTTCCATGATGTTCTTCTACACTATTGACATTCTGGACTTTCCAGAAAAGATTTGAGGCTACAGCTGCCTCTGATTGTTTGGCAAGGATTTACGTACATCACTCAACACTCATGCCATGACACACTCTCATCTGTTTCCTCTGAAAGAGTCTGTTGTAAGTCACTGCATTAGCATTTAGCAGTCGATGTGTGTGTTGAGCTTTAGAACGTAAGACAGGTGGCCACGGGTGCACAAGTTCATTAGATGGGGATTTTCTTCAGCCTGATACCGACGCTCCTTCACATTTCACTATGATTTCATATCCTGCCTCTGAAAGGAGGGATTTACTCAAAAAAATACATTTACCGAGAGACAATGAGATCCATCCATTGTCAATCCAAACAACTCAGCTTTCTTAGCAAATCGCTCTGACAGGCATGTAGGTCGCTCAGCTCGGGGAGGAATGTGAAGAACGGAGGTATTTTTTTGAGAGCTGGATGAGGAAGAGTAAAGAATGGAGTGCTGGGTAAACATATTGACATAGATACATTGATTGAAGGAGGCCAGTTGCGAATCCAAGACGCTGTTTTGTCCTTGGCTGAGTCTGTAATGTGGAAGTCGAGACCCCGGACCGCTGTTTTATTAACCCCATCAGAGCCACTCTGACAGAGACGAGAAGGGAATGAAATAAATAATAGGGGTCTGTAGTGGAAAATAAAATTTTTATAAAAATGTTTTTCTCATTTCTGTGGCAACCTGAGGTGTGGCGACACAGCAGAATACTGACAGCTCAATTACGGTAAACTCTGCTCACTCGCTCTCTTTCATTTCCCTACACTCTGACCCCCAAGTAAATGGCACATATCCCAAAGCTACACTCATCCCTCACACGGGGTGGCCCATTTTAACCCCCAAAAGGCCTGACGGGACAAACGGCAGCTCGCCTTCATCAAACATCTGCAGCTGAACGAAAAAGAAAAAAAACAAAAAACAAAAAGAAAAAAAACGGAGCAATCGGCCGCTGAATGAACTCAGCACATCGCAGGTGACTAAATCACTCCTATAACAATGCAGCCAATGTCATTCAAGGTTAAAGCTTATTATTATGAACATATGAAAATTCACATTTTTCTTCTTTAATACTGAATAACATGTGTATGTATGTATCTTTTTTTTCTTAGAATTTAGAGTGCAATTTGATTTGAATTTTTACCATAACACTGTAAATATTGCAGTAATCATCACACAGAAAATTCAATTTTTTTCTTTAATACTGACAAATATTAATATAATATAATATAATATAATATAATATAATATAATATATGTATTTTTCTCAGAATTACGAGTGCAATTTGTTTTGGATTTTTACCATAAAACTGTAAATTTTACAGCAATAATCACACAGAAAATTTACATTTTTAATATAATTAAATATTAATATATTTAAATGTAATATAATATAAAAATTGTAATATAATTGTCACGGTGTGCCTACTGTGTCGGAGCAAGGAGACGTGGAAGAATCCAGAACAATGACAGACTTTATTGACACCAGGGAACACACACGTAGCACACGGAATCGACGTTTAAGACAGGACGCAGGACTCATGAAAACACAGGGCTAAATACTAGAACTAAACGAGGGAATTAACAAGACCCACCTGACATCAATAACCAATCAACATGAGGGAGAAACTAGGTCACAGGAGTGAACATGGAACAAGTGGGGGAGGAAAACAAACACCAAAACAGTCCATGGGCGTGACAATAATACAATATATAATATGATATGATATTATATATGATATAATATAATAATATTCTCAGAATTAAGTGAGCAAGTTGATTTGGATTTTTTCTTAATACTGTAAGTATCTCAGTAATTAAGTAATAATAGAACAGAAAATTCTAATTTTTCTTGTTTATTACTAAATAATAATAATAATAAATTAAACAATAAATAAAAATAATAATAATAAATAAATTAGCTAAATCTCTCCTATTTACCTCCTTAATGAGGTAAATATATGTATGTTCTCAGTGCAATTTGATTTTGATTTTTACTGAAAAATATAATATAATGTAGTATAATATTTTTTTTTCAGAATGAAGTTGATTTACGTTTCCTTAACACTGTAAATTGTACAGTAATTGATCAAGAAATAATTACACAGAATATTCACATTTTTCTTCTTTAATACTGAAAAACAATATCAGTGTAACTCAGCACGTTGCAGGTGACGAAATCCCTCCTATTACAATGCAGCAATGTCATTCAAAGTTAATGCCGCAAATCATTTAGAAGCTTATCATTATGCACATTTGAGCCAAACAATACATATTTCTCATTTGGGGAGCGATGGCGCAGGCGATGCTAATAGCGCCATTAGCGGTGTGATGTATAGCCAGCGAGGATGTGACCTCTGTTTCACTGCCGCTACAGTAGCCTGCAGGCGAAAGCTGATGAAAAAACACTGTGAAGTTAAACCAAGCTAATACTGAGACCCCGGGGCGAGTGGCAGGACTTTCGCTTATAGAATGTGAAGAAATGCGACATTGCTTTACTATGCCACTAATCAATGTGTGATAATGACCCTCAGGAAAAAACTCCCATTGAGAAGCTGTTTATTAACCATAAAATGGATTAAAAACACAGAGGAGTTTCTGAAAGGGCCTGTTTCACCTATTCAACCTCTATCTTCAAAAAATATTACTATTGCAGCTAATACTAAAGGACGTTTTCAAAGAAAGAGCGTCTTGCATGGCTAATCAAATCCATCAGTGCTGATATTATATAAGAGTAAGTAAAATATATACATATATAAACATGCATGCATACATATGTATGTATGTTTATATATGTATATATTTTACTTGACAAAAGCTCTCTCTCTCTCTCTCTCTCTATATATATATGTGTGTGTGTGTGTGTGTGTGTGTGTGTTTTTAGTTGCATATATAAATAAAGTATTATGTTGATATATGGTTGCTACATATAAAAAAATCATTATCAAAATATGTACAAATTTGGGACAAACTATGGGATTTTATATGTATAAATATGCTATAAACGTATAGCTTCATCTACCATCATCAAGAGAACGTACATATGTGAAAATTATATATTGCCTTATAGGTAATATACAGTATATGGCAATATTACTCTTGATATAGGGCAATAAATGTCATATATTACATTTACGTATGGGTAATAACCTTTTTGGATGACAGTAGTCACTAATACCAATTTACCAGTTTTATTGTGGTAACAATAATCAAAATAATAAAAAAAGATTAAATTATGTATTATATAATAGATTATTACATTAATAATTTCAATAAAAGTAAACAATTTATTTTTAATTTAAAATGGTAAATTATTACTTAATTATTAAAAAATTATTTAATTAAAATAATTAAGTTAATTATTTAAAAATAATAAAAGTATAAATAAATAAATACATTTTAATTTACAATTAAAAATAAATAATTGTTTTATTTATATTTACAATTTATCACAGTTTCATTTATTAACAATAATTGCAGCAACTATGGTAAGTTGGAAGAGGCTATGTTGGTAAGCATGTTCAATTTGAATGAGAGAATTCCCTGCAAAATTTGTCACTTCAGTAGAAGGTCTAAATGAAAGCAAAAACACTTTCACTTTTTGGGAAAGACAAAGTAGGAGAGAAATGGGAAAACAGAAAAGAAATGGATGTGGCGAGCTCTAGAGAGAAGCTATAATTGTCTAACCAGACAATGGCCAATAAATCATCCTCTTCTGTGACTCTGACAAACCTTCTCAACTACCACACAGTGGAAAACAAGAAACAAAAGGGGGCTATCGCAGCCGTGGGCCCCGTGACGCTCTTCTGCCAGGGGACCCGATGTTTTGTCTTGCTCTGGTGATGGCGATGACATGCAGGTGTAGGGTGTGAAGGAAGTGCAGCGGGGCTTCAGGAGACAGAGCTGGTGTGTGTAGAGGAGATACGGCTCTCCGCGGACACTCTGGGTAACAAATGAGCCTGTCATTGCGCACAGACTTTAATCAGCAAACCTTCTGTGCTCGTGTGAGTGTGTGTGAATTTATGTCTTGAGAGTTCCATATGCCGTTTAAACTATTCTCAAAATGTTTTTATTAATTTTTTTATTTTTTTACAAGATTTATGTGTGGTAGCAGCCATCGCTCACACCTGGGAAAACATGGTATATGCACGATCTGTCCTGGGTTCAGTTTTGGCAGGGTCCAAAAATTAAAACTGACCAAACACCAAACTGAGAGCAAAATGTAGCTTTCATGAGTGAAATGAATGAATGAATTAATAATGACATTAAATAATTACGTTACTTTTACCTTACAAATGGAAATTGTAAAATTAATTTTACATAAAAAATACAAATAAAATTGTAAATATCTAAAAAAATAAATAAATTAAAATTTGAATAACAATTCGTTAATTTATATAATTAGGGTTGGGAACCGATAACCGGTTATGTTTTTTTAAAAGAACCGGAACCGTGAGCAATTTCTAAGTTTCGGTTCCGAAAACGGTTCTGGTGCGACACGTGACCAAGCGCTGTGAGCAGCCTTGTGCCGGCGTTTCCTGTAAAGGATGTCACAAACCAAATAACAGAAACGCCGCCCTGCCTCTTTAATTACTGAGCACATTGATTCCCATGACGCGCACTCCACAGACGCGCCGTGTCTTTAACTGCCGAACACATTGTTTTCCACGACTGTACGCGCACTCGCGTCTTTGATAAATGTGCACGTTGTTTTGTCTGACTGTACATGTACCGGCAGCACGCAGCTCCTGCCGCCACTAAATTACATTATATTTGTCCCATATTGTCATTAATATATATACTGACTTCAACTTGGACCACTAAATAATAGACTGCTATTGTTATGTAAGTATGAGGGTTAGATTATTTAGTGTACAGGTCATTTCAAGAGTGATAAACAAAGTGATAGAAAATATTTATTTTCATGCATTTTAAATGTTTAAAAATGTGGAAACCACTCATTGCATCACACCATCTCCTGACTGCATTATTATTTGTAAAACAGGGGCTTTATGCAGTGTGTGTATACATGGTTATAAGTATAATATTTCATTAATTTAGGGAAATTAACAAGTGTCCTAGCCCTCAAGGGACTATTTGGCCAACCAGCTTATTCTTGCTTGAAAAGCAAAATGTTATTGATAGTGTAAAAAACATCAATTTTGAAGCACATGCATTACTCAACATTACTTACTACCTTCCAGCAACACTACATTCGATTAAGGTAAAATAGTAAAAAAAATAATAACAGTTCATTTAAATGGAACCGGAATCGGAACCGGAATCGTTAGGCAAAACTGGAACCGGAATCGGAACCGGAAAATTTCTAACGATACCCAACCCTATATATAATATTAATCTATATAATTTTCTACATACATGATTAAATAATTGCATACATTATATCTACTTAGGTTCTTTATGTTTAAAATTTTTCATTGTGGTAAATTTTCTATATGCAAAATGTTCATTTTGAACGCTAGGCAAAGACTGGCGGTTGTCTAATGGAAATACAGAAAATAGAAAGAGAAACCATTCTATATAATTTTATTATTTAATTTTAATTGTATATTAAATGTAATTATACATTACATAATACATACATATTTTAAAATGTAAATCAAAATAATGTATTATATGATAGATAATACATTTAGTATAAAAAAAAATATTAAAATAATTTATTTAATGTTTTTTACATTTAAAAATTGTATTAATACAAATTATTAATAATATTGATATTTTTATTAATAATTATTAAAAAATATAATTAAAAATAAATGTATTAAAATATTTTGAAAAATTATTAAAAATAAAAACAATAATATATAATTAATACATATTATATAATAAAGGATTATATTTAATTTACAATTAAAAATAAATCTAAAGTTATAATTTTCTAGATTGCATAAATCATATTTATTTATGTATTCAATTATGTTTTTTTCATTTAAAAAAATGTTTTCTCTTGGTAAATATTCTCTACGCAGAAAGTTCATTTTGAATGCTAGGTATGGACTGGTGCTTGTCTAAAGGAAATACAGAAACCAATGAGTTAGTATAAATCTGGCTCTATGGCTGACAGAGTATTTTTTGGTCAGCTGCGAATGATGGGGACGAGTACAGGGGAAGCATTCAGTGAAACCCATGCTTATTTTAGTGTCCCGTCAGCCATACACACACACTACTCACAACAAAGAAAAGGTCAATTCCTTTGCCAAAACGATAGCGTCTTTCCTCTGAGTCCCGTCAGGGATAGAGACAAGCTTACTGCAGTGCTGTGGAAAGCAGGCCAGTTTTGCTTACTACAGTATTTGTTACGACATTGGCCTAAGGGTGGATTATGTATCACTGGCCCAAATTGCTGTGGACTTAGAGCAAGCTGGAAAGAATCAGCAAGAGATCCAACTCTTGGGCTTATGTCTGCATTTGTGTCTCTTAGTATCTGTGACCTGTACGTTTCAGAAGCATAAGACATCGACAAATCGATTACAAACTCTTGGAATTCGCAAGCACATTTTACTTCCATAATGTGAGTTGAAACAGAATAATCTTTAAGAATATAATAAGCTAATTTATGCATCAGGCTATTGATTATATTTTGAAAAAGAAAAAAAAAAAACTGAATAAACTACAAAAGTAGTCCAAAACAATGCCTAAAAAGCTGTTTTACCAACCTGTAGGAGTCATGTCTATGCGCATCACAAAAGTGATGATATTTTATTTTAAATGAAAGGTTACAGAGATAAATTATTTATTTAATAAGAAATTAAATGTGGTCCATTTTGATTTCATGTTGACTTCAAACATCACAGATCTCCTGTATCACTTCAAAGAATCAAACGCTGTACCTTCCTCTGTTGTTCTTGCTGTTCGGGACTCGCTGTCCATGCCCTGGAACTCGTTGAAGTACGGACGGACTTTGATCTCGTAGACGATGCCTTTCTTCAGAGCCGAGAGCACCATGCTCCTCTCAGAGGGGACCTTCACATCCTGACTCTGCCACGCTCCAGGGGAGGACAGCCCTGACATCTGCCTGTACAAAACCCTGTAGCCCTGGATGAACTGAGACTGGCGGTCAACCTGAAGGGGAAAGGTTTGAAAGATGGTTCAAACTTAAAGTGCAAAAGACTGAGTAAAATAATTGAAAAAGGAGAAACTCTGCTAAAAAGGCCTAGCTTTGGGTGCTGGTTCCCATTAGGTGTCTTAACTAGCTTAACCAGCAGTGCTTTCTTGGTCAAACAACTTAAACAGAAAAGCTAGTTGACGAGTTTCTACAGATATGTTGGTCCACCAACTAGACAAAAGTCTGAAAGACCAAGGAATATCTCCTCTTTTTCACCTTAACTAGTATTTACATATAACAAGAAGTTCAGCCAATCAAATCCCTTTGATAAAAATGCTCTACAAGAGTCATACATACGTACAACCTTGACAAACTCTAAATAAAACATCAATAACAGCAATCATGCAAGATGTAGCCGCTTCGAACAAACATGTTGTGAAAAAAAGCTCAGCTGCGAAGAAATAAACACATATGTACAAGTATATACATACGCACACCAAAAAAAAAAAAAAAAAACTCAACACTGACCGTGTCAACATAAGGATCAAAGAAAAAATGCAATCTCAAATCAACAAAAAGGTAAACAAGACACTTCATTCGCTGAAAGCCTCATCCTGTTTTTAGTTTGCCGAAGAAAAGTTGTATTTACAGAGAGGAGTAGCGTGTATAACTCACATTAATGTCTTTCTAACAGCCTTCGGAGTGAGATATTAAACATCTGCTTTTCCTCCCTACACATGGAGTAAATCAGCCCAATGGCCATCCTTCCTACGCTTTTTTAACTTTCATTAATTGAATGATTCAGAGTCGTAATAGCTTTCTTGACACCACCTACGTTTACCGCGAGAGTGCTGCTGTATTCAGGGGCCGTGTAGGCCGATGACTTATGGATTATTCATATGAGAAAAATACCTCTGAAACAGTCTATACCCCATTTAGGCTGAACAGACAGATGCTTATATTTGTCTCTGTAATGATTGTTGATGGCAATCATTAATATACCACAGGAGAGTGCTTACAAACTAATGTGACAAAGCCAAAGCTGTAAAATCTCCATTTTAATGCAATTCAACAAACAGTAAACACTTTTAGAGTGTTTATCAATGCGGGAAGACTGCAGTGGGAAACGGAAACAACAACCAAGACGAGTAACAGAGTTAACTTTGTTGGATATCGAATAATATACAGTACATACTGTATAAGTTTAAATAATATACAGCCAATAATCTGTGCCAAATAGCCTAATTCTGTATAGAGATGATGTTTATTCAAATATATGAAGTAAATTTAGTTCAAAATCATCAAATTAGTATACTATAAAATAGCTCACGTCATTCCAAACCTTTCAAAATAAATGTAAATATTTTCTGAGGTACACAAAAAATTATATTGTAAAAAAGGAATAAATTAATTAATCATTACATACATAGTATTTTATTTTAATTTTTAATTTTTAATTAAAGTCAGTGGTGTCCAGTGATGTTTAGGACCATTCTATAGATTAAAACATTCTTCAAAATATCTTCTTTTGTGTTCCACATAATAAAGAACAGTTTGGAACAATATGAGGTTTAATAAATGATGACAGAATTTGTATTTCTGGGTGAAATATCCCTTTACTACTGCATCATGTTCTAGAACCTCAGTCCAATCACAGTTTAGATGCTAAAGTCACAGTCCAATCATGGTACCTGTACAATAACCTCTGTCCAACAGCAAGTCATGTTCTATAGCCATTGTCTAATCATAGTTCATGTGTCAAAATGTCTGTCCAATCTCAGCACAATTTACAGACTACAATATCTCTCCAAACACAATTAACATGCTAAAAGCTCTGTCCAATCATAGAGCGCCTTACCGTCCATGTGACCTGTATGGTGGTGGGGCTGAGGACCACAGGGTTGTGTAGCCGCACAATAACCTCACCCAACTCCTTCTGCACGTGTCTGTGATCCACTCCCTGAGCTGGAGGACTTATATCTGTAAAGAGAAACACAGAGGCCAATGCCATTACCTCTTATAGTGCAAATTACTAAATTACTGGTCGGAACAGCATAATCCCTTAAATACAATTGAATTCCCTAAAAGAGTGATGAGGAGTCATTTTCACTGACTCCAGCCGCAGACAGCACAGCTTCAACCCTACCTGTGAGGTTACATCCGCCCAAGGTCTCAGAATCAGTCACCCCTAATGAACATACGGAAGACTCCGTGGCACCTTAATCGAATCTTTTTCCAGTCGAAGTTGGTCCTTTTTTCTCCTCGTAATGATCATTAAGGTACCAGCCAGGTCACTAACTCAATTATACACTCTAAAAGTAGATGATGTTTGTTCTACATTATACATTAGTCTCTGAAACTAATGAGCATATGGGACCCTGTTAGACCCTGTGGTATCTAGACTAGATCTCGTTCTCTGTGAGCAACAGCTAGGATTTAATTGGAAGTTGTTGACACAGACACTATTCACTTGGGTTTCTTACCCAAACTATATACACAATTACAGACAGAGTTTCTGTGAAATACCTTGAGTGCGGACAGGTTCGGACATGGGGCTCGGGTCACTCAGGCCTTGGACGTTGACTGCTCGCACCATGAACAAGTAGATGGTGTTGGGGCGAAGACCCTTGATGGTGTACTGCGTGGTCTTGACATGATCGGCCACAGTCTGCCAGCTTTTGCTCACCGATTGGCTGCATGCAAATGAGGCAGAGTGATGTCAGAGTCTGAAATGTCTTAAAACATTTTAGTCAGAGCGGATGCAATATACAAGGACAGTCCATTCAAAATGTTGTACCAGCTTGAGATTGAAGGTCGCAATATATTTTTTGAGGACTTTGTATGTTAGAAATGTGTATAAAGACATATTTCGGTCTGACTTGAGTACTTGACAAGAAAATGAACAAATTTAAGGTACAATTCAAAAACAGAAAAGCCACTTAAAGGCTAAATAAACTAAATTCATACCTGAAAGCCTCAATAACATATGATGAGATGGGTGATACTCCAGGAAGGCCAGGCTGCCAGGACAACGACACACTGTTTTTAGTGACGTCGGTGACCTGAGGTTTGGAAGGAGGACCTGGGAGCTCGTTCTCATCCTGGTCTTTAACTATAACAAGACTTCCAGACTCTAAAGAGAGGAAAGACATAAGAACACTGAGAACTTGAAAATCACATACACTCTTAAAAATAAAGGTTCTTTAAAGGTTCTTATCTATGGTTCCATGAAGAACCTTTAAAGGGTTATTTCACCCAAAAATGAAAATTCTGTCATTGATTACTCACTCTCGTGTTGTTCCAAACCCATAAGACCTACGTTCATCTTCGGAACACAATTTAAGATATTTTAGTGTGGCAGCGCTGACCCAGATCCGGCGTGATGACACACGGACTACTTTGTCGATCATCTTGGTACTTTTCTGGGAGGGTCAGAGAGCCCTCATATTTCATCAAAAATATCTTAAATTGTGTTCCGAAGATGAACGAAGGTCTTACGGGTTTCGAACAACACGAGGGTGAGTAATTAATGACAGAATTTTCATTTTTGGGTGAACTAACCCTTTAAAATCTATGGAACCTTGTCACTGAACAAAAGAAGGTTCTTTTATAACAAGATGGGTTCACTAAAAGGTTCTTTGGGGATCCCAAAATGGTTCTTCTATGGCATTGCTATGAAAACACCATATTAACTTAACACCAACTTAAAGGTTCTTTATTCGCATACATGGCTCCTTGAAGAATCTTTAACATCCATGGAAACTTTTCATAACAAAATGATTTTTTCTTAAACAACTTTTAAGAACTGTTCACTCAAAAGTTCATTGGGGAACTCAAAACGGTTCTTCTATGGTATTCCTGCAAAACCTCCCCTTTTATTTTTAAGAGTATTGTTTGTGAAGTTGCGCATAAGTACCTTTGACTTCCAAGAAAGCACTCCAAGATGTTTCCCCACTAGAACTTGCTGCCACACAAGTATAGATACCAGAATCAGAGAGCTGAAAAACAGAAAATAAAAACATGCATTGATCTTTATATCTTCAAGTACTGTGAATTCACTAAACGGCTAATCAATTCGACTCATGGAAAGTCCAAGCTTTCGATCCTAAAGAGATGTAACCTCGGGCAAGTCCAGTTCGGCTAAAGCGCTGACACTAATACGGTAGATATATTCTATTTTCTGCACCCTTCAGCCAGCTTTTATCCTTGCTGGCAAATTCACAAACCCACCTACTAACTGCAACGAGAGTTAGACTAATTCATTTAAAGGGGTAGTCGCTGAAACCCTCTGGACCGTTCACAGCTGGCGCATGTTCCCCCCTCTCTACCTTTCTGGGACGATCTCCTTGTTGTTTGTTGCCTTTCATCAGGGTGCCTCGCCTCCATTTATTAGATAAAATGTCAGAGGTGGGCAGCACTGTCAGGCATAATAGCTATTCCATCCCGAGCCGACGGGGAGGGCTTGAGGACTTTAAATTCAATATGGCCCTAAAAGTGTGTTTGTTTGTGTGTGCGTGTGCAAATGTGTGTGCAGCTGGAGCCCGTCCAGCCTTCCGTAAATTATTCTTGGGAGAGCTGTCGTATCCCTAAGTGATAGTATCAAACAATTTACCAAAATCAATATTTCCCATTCATCCCCATAATGCAATATGATTCTCTCTGCCCATCTCTGTTATGTCTTACTGATATCTGATTGAATTCTGCTAAGCTTATACATCACACTTAGATGAAGACGTTTCTGACAGATGGTAGTCACACAAACGGTCTTAGAAATACACAATAACAGATACACATCTGGACATTCAGCGATGTATTGGTGACTATATCAGTGCTGGCTAATATAAAAACCAGTCTAATTTGGTCCATGTTGAAAGTTGATGATATATGATGGATGCTCCTTTTCTATGCCAATTCAACGTCTAAGTTAACTGAATCGCATTAAATAAATAAGCATTCATTCATTCATCCATTCATCCATCCCAAATGTATACATTCATTACAAAGGAAAAATAGAAATAAATAAATAATAGTGTTTAGGCTCACCCGCAAAACCTTGATCTGCAGGCTGCCGAGGTCCTGTAGGGACATACGAGCGTCTTTGCCCAGCAGACTGACCCCATCCTTGAGCCAGCTGATGGTTGGGACCGGTTCTCCAGATGCATGGCACCTCAGAAGAGCCACACTGTCTACACCCAGAGTCTGGTTAGCTGGACCCTGCCGGATGATGGGGGGAGGACGATCAGTCAACACTAAACAAGAGAGAGAAAGAGAACAGGAATTAAGCCTACATGTAGTTCTTACTGTTTTAGAAGGGAGGCATCCCAATTTGTATCCTTTGCTGGTGATGTACGGTACAAAAATAAGCTTCAGTTTCAGCTTCACATTTATCAACATTTTTCAACTGATGAATGAAAAAGAGAACTGTCACAAGCACTTCTTCCATTGCACAAGAGAAATATGAGCGTGAATACACACTACGAAAAGTACACCACCAACTTTGAATGTACTATGATTTGAATCACACTAATCACACTATTTATCGGATAGCAACTACAGACAACAGAGAGGAGGCAGGAAAAAAATTAGGATAAGAGAGCGAGAAAGTGTCCGGAAAACAACACAGGCCAGATCTGAAACATTTCCTGTGTGAGTGCAGTGACTCAACATGTCTGGAGTCCATGTGCTAATAACTAGGCCATGGCTCTGAATTAGTTCCTGCTTTTACTACTGAAATGGAAACATTGGAAATTGGTAGCAATTAGCATGCTTGTCCATCAAAAATAATATATTCTCCTCAGATGATGACATCATGACATGAACAGGCCTTCTTCTTACATCATTTGTTGCTTTAGCACAGGACAGCGAATATGTTCGTCATTAAAAGTGTCTGAAAACATTAAGATCGTGGCCTTGTCCCGTGTGGCACAGGAAGCAGGATGAAGCCATGATTGCCTTATTCCTGGACGTATCAGGGTTATATGCACATTTTGTGGTCGCACCACAGGGCAGCGTCTACCCCCCAAGCATTCTGGAAAAAACTGGGAGAAACGCTGAGTCTTGGTTTCTAGCTCACTGATGTGGCAGCGAGGTGGTTTTGTAGCTTCCAGTTAGTGCCTGAGATCCTTCATTCAGGAACCAGACTCTGAGTAAAATTTCATGTATTACTATATATCCGACTATCAGAGGCAGTGTGGTCGCTTAAATATCTCATGCTGGTTAAGAGAACATCCCCTCATGAAACTGCTTCTCCCACCGTCCTAGAGCGCACAGATTGTTTCATTTTTTGTTTTGCGACGTTTATAATGAAGGGTGTTCATGAAAAGATTTCCATCTATTTTCCATCTCATTGTTTAGATGCTTTTTTACTGCTTACAGTAGAGGAAAATCTGTGAAATTTTATGGAGCAAATATAATTATGGTAAAATTGTAAGTAAAAACACTGCATTGTCATTGGCAACAGAAAGCCTTATCAAACCACGTGGATTGTGGAATAAATAAATAAATAAATCACACAGCACATAGGCATTCTGTTTGTCTTGCAGTTCTCGATTGTCGGCCATAGATATTAAAAAAACGTGTAATTGTTTTTTGTAAGTGTTTTTGTTCTTTGGTCATCTGATCCCCTGTTATTTATTTTGTGTTGGTAAAATCTGAAAACCTGAAGTATATTATTGAAGTATATTATTAAAACAAAATTTTTAAAATGATTAAAAATATGAATAAATAAAATGCATATTAAAAATAAAAAAATAAGGAATTATAATATATTTATGTAATAAAAAGTATATAAAATAAATTAAGTGAGATTACATCTCACACAGGCCTATTGACAGGGCCTAAAATTAACGAGTCCATGTAACAGTGTCAGTCGCCAGTTGACGGGTACAACTTTTACGAATTATAACAATGCAATGAAGTAAAAACAACAGACAGTTTTTAGTTGCATTTAAAATAATTTTTGGGACGTGTGCAGACCTTCTCTTTTGCATGTGCAACGTTTCACTAGCTTGCTCATTGTTTCACATCCAATCTTTGTTTCCAAATGCAATTACTTCAGTTTTTTCCTTATTTAACTGAAGGAAGTTCTGGCACATCCAACTGTTAATTTCATCAATGCATTGGCAGAGGGAGTCAATGGGGCTGTATTCATTTGGCGATAAGGCTAGGTAAACCTGGGTATCATCAGCATAGCTGTGATAGGCAATTTGATTCTTTCTCATTATTTGACTTAGTGGGAGCATATACAGGCTAAACAAGAGCGCTCAGTTCGCGCGCGTGCAAAACGCACTTTTTTTTTTTTGAAAAATTGAGAATTGTGGCAGAATTGTAATCCCATAAGAATGAGGCGACACATACCTGGGGTTACGCCACAGAAACGGTGCAGTGAAGTATAGTTTGAAAGGCTGCGCGTTCGGCTGTACACATACGCTGAGCCGCTTCAGACAGCTCACCAGTAGCGCTTCAACGCACGAAAACACACACAATTATGTCAAAATGCGCGGTTTTGCCGAGTTACCTTGTAAACGGAGTCTTAAATGAGTTATAAATGATCGTAAAGAGTTGGGAGAAAATCAGATATGTGTCAGATCCGCGTCATATGCATCAGGTTTTAAAGAGACAGCGCTGATTTTAAAGTGAAACCTGCTGAAGTCTGTCATTGATGTATATCAAAGAACAAAAGAAAAAGAGAAATCCTTGGACTGTTCTAGTTCCTGATTAAATTTTATAGCTTGAATAAAGATTAATATATATAGTTTATGCATATATAATATAGTTTATGTGAATATTGTTTTAAAATCGCTTAAATTAAAAGTTGTTATATATTTCAGAGCCTATTAAATGTTAAAAATAATGGCTTTCAATTATACTGTAATGTTGAATGGCTATAGTTAATAGGGAAAATTGAGGGAAAATGCACCAGCAGGACAAATTAAAAACATTTTAAATATGTTTAGTTATTGTAGTAGTAATAACTGCCTGTTTTTGCAAAAAGAGTTTCATGGCCGGTAAATTTTATCATGTCACCGGCCATTGGCAGGTGTGGCAAAAAGTTAGTTTTAGGCCCTGCCTATTGACGTTTATGGTGATGTCAAGTCACATATATTTATATTGCGCTTTATACAATACAGACTGTTTTAAAGCCGTTTCACTGTAATAAACAAGAAAATAATAGTATTAAGTTCTTCAGTTATGAAACAAATCAAATTTCAGCTGCAAAGTAGCTCTAAAAAGACAATAGTGTCATTATTCTGCACAGTTTAGTTCTATGATGATTCAATTTAGTTCAATAACAGTATGAATGTTGCAAAGTTCATTAGTTATGACACAAACTTGATTCAAATAAAGCAGCTCTTCAGAAGATAGTCAATAGTAGTGCAAAGCTAATCAAATTATGAAACAAGCTTCATTCAGCTATAGAAAGTGGCAATAGTGTCATTATTCAGCTCAATTCTGTTGATTCAATTCAGTTCAATAACAGTATTGATGTTGCAGGGTTCATAATTTTGGAACCAAATTTGATTCAGCTATAAAGCAGCAACAACTGATGTACAAATGTACATCAAATGCCCCTTGAGAAGCGCCAACCATTTATTTCTCAGACTAATAATAATACAATAATCACAGCCGTGTCCTGTCCCCTGCCCCTCTGAGGACACACTAATTAGCAGGTGTGAATTAATGACCAAAAAGCTGGTGGGTGCTAATTACAGACTGCACCTCTAACCCTTAAATACAGCTTTAGATGCAGTCTTCTTCCATTCTTGGCTGCGTTACTATTTGTCTCACTCTGAATAAAGGATGGTATTTATATTGTCCAAATCTCCATCGGAATGCCTCATTTGGGCTCAGGGATGAAGAGTTGCCATCCTAATTCATCAATGTGGATTACTCCGCTTCGAGGTTAAACCCCAGAGTGCTTTGCAGGCACATCCATCAGGCCGGTATAAACCCCAGAGATGCATGCGCGGATAGATAGAGACTGATGAGGCATAATGGCTGTATTTGGATTAAAGTGGCATCCTCTGTACTGAATGAGTCTTTAGTGTTGCACTGTTGCACTTGAACTCGACTAGACTGCAGTTGTTTCCAATCAGCCCAATCTCATCCCTGCTGAAAGGACACATTATATTCATGATCGTTTTCTAAAGAACTGCAGAATAAATAAATAAATAAATATTTTTTGCAAAACTTTTCGTAAAGTAAATTTGTCTTTATATCTGCAAGTGCTCTGCAACATAAAAATAAATAAATGAAATCCATATAAATGTGAGTAACTAACTGACTAACTAATCAACTAAATAAATTTGCTAGCTAACTGACTAGATATTAACAGAAAAAAGTGCATTGACTTTCCTCCTTTTGCAGTGTCTGCTAAGATTAGGTAGTTTGGTTCATGTGTGAGTGTAATAAGACTAAGTCATATGTGTGTTGACGTGACATGATGGAGTGCTGATCATCTGACGGGACAGTTTTAGACAGCGTGAAGGCCTTGGTGCCGTCTGGCAGCAGCCATTTTTCATCAAATCTCTCCTTGAACCTGTCCAGCTCTCTCCGCCACCTCAACAGCCACTAAATCACACTCTTCCTCCAGCGCAGGTGTGGCCGTGACCCTCTTCCTCTTTCGTTCCTGTCATCCCTCTTTGCTGTCATCCTCCACAACATCTCACACACACACACACGCATTTCTGAGTAAAAGCCGCTTATGGCAGTTTAGGTCATATGTGGTTTCTAAGACAAAATCGCTTAATTGATATGCTTTGCAGTCAACCGTAACAGAAATCAACTTAAAAGAATTACATTTTACTGTTAGACTGAAGATGTAGTTGAAAAGTTCATACAAACTGACTTGTTGCTACTTTTTCCTTTGTAAAAAAAAAAAAATCTCTCTTACACAACCCAAAACACGCTTTGTTGCCAAAGCAATTTTTCCATGATCAGTATCTGAAGTTTTCAAGGACGGCTGTTTTCACTCCCTTCTCGAGCTGAAATGAAGTTTTCCTCCTGTCAAGAGAAGTTCACAGAGATGTGCTCCTGTAATATTCAAACGTGAGCGGAATTCAGGGTTGTCAGGCTTGCTATTCATTTCACATAGAGAGGCAGAATCAATGCAGAGCTCAAGGCCACATCCCAATTCAGCTCTTAATGTGGATCCAGCGGCAACATAAGTGGTTTTCATATGACATTTATCTTTCTGCCAGTACTTTTGTATGGGATACTGAGGCCTCCGTTTGTGTCGGGTGTGAAAAGTGTAGGCTGACATATGACTTTGGCCAGGATGCTGCCCGCCACCGTCAGGGCCTGGCAGATATAATATCCCGCGTCTGCCCGCTGGACCACTGTGATGGTCAGATCTCCACTAGGCGACACCAAGAAACGACTGTTGGGCTGCTGCGGTTGATTTGGAAACAGGAGGTTCTACACAAACAAAGAAAAGTGAACAAACAAGAAAAGTGTGAAGAGGATTTCCAGGGAAAATTTGCTACCTGAAACCCACCGTTCTTCGAACAGAAACACATGAGGAAAGACATTTTTGCATTAGAGGGGGTAAATTATTATCTGTATTATCAAATATTAAAATTCTGAAAGGAATTACGGTGGTGTGACTTTAAATTGCGCAACACAATGGCTCACAGTAAATAAAGCTTTTGCTAACACATGCTAACCCAGACTGTGTATATCTCTCACTGTGTGTATCCATTGTGTCCAAATGACTCCAGTAATTGCTTTGGGCTGCATTGTGTACTCACTCTGTCTGACATGGATGTTGTATTTGAAATGAAATCTGTTGGAAAGGGAGGAGGCCAGGTGATTCGAAGCTAATTCACCACCAGCGGCCGGTTTAGACTGTTCGCTAATTACGGCAGATAACAAGCTGGGTTCATTAATGGCCGTCATTGACCGAACCCTCATATTTACCTCAGATTTTATATCCTTGAGATCCCTCCACTCTTCCTTTCATTTTCTCTCTCTCTTTAGATTTCTGAGTCCTCATAGCTGACCGTCAGAAACCGAAAGGCATTAGCCGGATTCAATTACACCTAATGACTTTAATGCTCCAAATTATACTCCAAATTATGTTTTTTCTTTCACTCTTTTTTTTAATTAGCCTCTCACACATGATAGATGTTGGGTCCATTATCCTCAAGTGTGACTGAGAGGCTTCTCTCAACGTTATTGACTCAATAACTGCTTTAATTTTGCCTTTTAACAAATACCTTCATATCTTACTTAAGAGAGGAATGGCAGGACAGAAAATGTAATAGAAAGTTTTATATTGCATTTAATATTGGGATTAAGAATCAAATCCTCCAGTATTTCAAATTTTTTATTACTTTTATATGAATTTTTAACTAGCCTGCCATGCTAAAGCTCACTGCTACAATGCTAGCATGTTCTGGGTGGTTGCCAGTTTTGCTATCACTAAGGTCCTTTGGGTGGATGCTAGGTGACCCATTCCTAGATATAACTTGTATCCCTTCTTCAATATAAGTCTAAGGGATTTGTTCAACCGTTTTATTGTCAATACGCCTGGAGCATGTATGCTAACCACTAGCCCAATGCTTTCACAAAAATAAAAGTAGGTTAAAAAGAGAAAATTGTTCTCTCTCTTACCTGACTTCCTTCTTTCTGCCAGAAGACTGCCGGCTGTGGGTTCCCTTTGGTCTCACAGGGGAAACTGGCGGTCCGTCCCTGCGCCACAATCTGATCCCGCGGCCTGATCACGAACTGCGGTGCGGCTGAGTCAAGAACCAAAGACATTACCATTACACCCTACCCGTAGACACAAACACACACTGACACATACACGCTGATCGCTGGCAGTCAGTGGGAATGTCAGGCATCCACAGGCATTGACTGCCAAGGTCACTGAAACAGAGCTTCCATGCATCAGCCCGTTTCCAACACCATTCAGCCTCTTGGATTATCTGTTTGCTTTAACCACAAACAGCAAGGACAGCGACAGCAACCACAGGAAGCCATTCATCCAGGTGGGGCCGCGGATGGCGGTTCTGAATGAATGACGGCAGCTTTCAGGCACAGCCGTGCTGCAGTCACAACACCAGAGGGAGGGGTGGGTCATTCCGGTCAGGACACACGGAGAGGAGAAGCTAAGTGTGGACGCCACACCATGAACTTGAGTGGACAGTTCTTTTGTAAGGGGGTTTAAATGCTCGACTCTATTTACTCTAGCTACACAAAACAGTTTCTATTCCTGTATCGAAGACAAGCAGAGGTCACAAGCTGGACAAGCTTGGAAAACATTGAATTGCTGTTGGACATCATTCTCTATTCTAACTGCCAACTTGGGTCAAGTTCTCACAAAACAAGATTTTTTTCCTGCCTTATGCGTCACACTTAGCAAAGTATTTTTAACCTCTCAACTCACCCGGCACAGAAACTCAGCCAACATTCCTGCAGAGCACATTCAAATAAACCAATTAAAAGTACCATCTTCCCTGCTTTCCCGGTCTACACACACACACACACACACACACACACACACACACACACACACACACACACCCCAAGTCTATCTGTTCCAGAGGGGATTTTAAAGAGTAGAACAAAGCTAGTCATAAATAAACTGTGACTGCATCCCTGGAACATTCTTTAATGCATGTGTGCTGGCCTCTTTTCATTGGGAAGTGTCTGCTGGGAGAATGAGGCCCTGTAAGAGCAGAATAGCTGATCGGCTCCCATATTTAATTCATGACGGAGCACATCTGCTTCGTACTGGAGAGAGTTCATGAGTAAACACACTTCTGAGAGCTGTAAATAAACACACATGAGAACAACAGGAAAAAAGCATGCACACTCTCTCCGAAATGCACACACAGACAGAAAAATAAACAGAAACTGACATGACTAATCGAACAACTTCGCAGGATGCTAGAACATGTTGTTTTAAAGTATTTCAACTCAGCCAAATGTACACCCAGATGGTTGTGTGTGTTAGGAAGACTGCTGAATTATATTCATTAAGCAGAAGCCACAAGTTTTAAGCAATTAACACACTCATAAGCTTTTTTAGCAGAGTACTATCATAACCTATAATCCTATAATAAAGGTAGTTAGTACAGCCACAGGTTAGTATGGGATAAAACTCTACTTTGTTACTTTGCTATCAAGTTCATCAGGATGGGAAGGGGAAGTAGTGAAGCGGAAACAGGAAGTACTGAACCTCTACAGAGTTAGTTGAAGAGTTGAGCCAGCACACTGTATGCGTGCGTGTGTGTAGCAGGAGAGGAGGAAGGAGCACAGAAGGCACACATGCAGTATGAAGGAGTGACTGGGATGGGTACTTACCGACAGGGCGAGCTGAAGACACAACAATGGAGGAGTGAAGACAACAAAAAATGACAAAAGACAGACACAAACAGAAAGGACGAACAAAGAAGTGAAAATAATTAAGAACAAAAGAAACCAAATTCAGAATGAACAATGGCAATGTGTGTTTTTTAATATATATTTTATTTATATATATATATATATATATATATATATATATAATTATTATATTTTTTTTCATTTCAGCACAGTGTTGGTCGGTGGAAACAGATTCCACAGCAGAGATGCAAGGAGGAGAGAGAAAATGCAATGCATTTTATTCAATTTTATTTTTCAACTTCATTTGTTGACCGGAACCTTCAAATAATCATCACAAAAATGCTCATCTGGACTAGCACCACCCGGTGGCAGACACATTTAATGTTTATTTTTATTGTGTGAGAACGTGGACAGCTAAGAAAATCAAAATCAGCACTCCTGTCTCTCCTCCATAACTGACAGGTATCTCTATTCATATGAAGTCATTAAAATTGGGGGCTCGTCCGGGATAAAATTCAAGCTATGAAATCTGCTTCACCTGCAATAACGAGGTCTATATACACAGCTATCTGTGAAGAAGCTGAACCGGCAAGACAGAATATGGGCAAAATAGATGGAATGGCCAAGAGAAACTAGCTGACAAAAAAGCAGTTATTATTATTTAATGCAGTAGTGGAGCTGTCAAAGAGGCTGATGCCATATTGACATTAAGATGGAGCAATCACGCTCAGAGTGCTGTCCTCTCCTTCCTTCCCTCCTCTGTCTCTCTCTCTCTCTCTCTTTCTCTGGAAAGTGAGCTTGTGTAAAAACCCTCCACTCTGCATCCCCACACATCCCTTCATGGCTGAACTCTGTCTGCTTGTAAATCCCGCTTTCAAAAGGGCTGAAAATTGACGGCTGTCCCCATTGGCAGCTCCAGACCCCTCCTGAAGGCCACTGACCAACCCCCACCCACATGAGGAGCCCTCCACAGTGCATCTAAGCAGGTTGTTTTAATGTGGTGAGAAGAGAAGGGAGACTGAGAAGAGGTGGAAGGGGAGAGAGGGAGATTATGGCGAAAAGAAAAAAAAATGATTAACCTTGCCCACCCGAGCTGGGCTTTTCGAGGTCGGTCTGCACCAGTAAACTGTGAAATGGTTTCGCTGGTTTGGGCCGGAGTGCCACAGTGGAACTGAGGAGATAGCATGTTTATGTGTGTGCAGAGGGGGGGTTGGTGGCCTCCATTCTAGGGGGTGTAAATAATAAAAAAGGATTGGTGCCTAGGGCAAGATCCCCCGCCCCCCACCTACCTAAATTACACTTCAGGAGTTCATTTGAGACCCGTCAGGAGGTTATCTCACTCTTTTAGACTGAGACTACACCAAAAATACCTTACACTGCTATTGATTTCCAGTAAAGGGAAACCTTACGATAAAGTCAAATAACCAAGATCAGCACAAATGCACTGTTGGGTCTCTGAGATGCTCTAATATTTGGTTTTGTTTGTCAAATAAAAAAATGAATTAAAAAAATTATCCAATCTGTTTTTTTATTTTTTCTCTCTAATTTATCCCTTTAATGTATTTAATCTCTTTAAACCCTTAAACAGGTGGTGCAATTTAGGAATCCAGCAATCAATAATTATAATCAAGTAATCAAAAACAGTAATTAGTAATCAATGATGCAATCAAAAGCATTCGACTAAGCTGATTGCATGAGTTGCTTTGAAACACTTGAATGAAATGCACATTTCTGAAGGCAACCAACCACCCTGTGAGGCTGGAAAGTTGTAAGCAGTGTCATTTAACTTTTGTGGTAGACTTGGATACTCAACTGACCTCTGACCATGAGGGTGGTGGACGCCTCCGTTTTTCCAACTCTGTTCTCAGCTACACAGGTGAAGGTTCCTTCATCGCTCGCTGTTGCCTTCTTTATCCTCAGCACATAGTCGTCTTTATCATATTTAATATCATACCTGAAACACATATGAACAGAAGATGAGTATAGCAATTAGAAACAACTTCTGATTATGTGATAAACATATGTAAGCACAGTATACACTACTGGGTTCAGTAAGACTTGATTTATTAGATATAAACTAGATATAAAATACTTTTATTGAGCAAGGATGCATTGAATTGATCAAAAGTGCTATATTTCAAATAAATGCTGCACTTTTGAACTTTCTATTTTTTTCTGTTTCTTTTTTCTTTTCTTTTTTTTTTTTAAATCAAATAAATGCAACCTCAGTAAGCATAAGAGACTTATTTTTAAAACATAAAAAAAATCTTACCAACCAACCCACACTTTTGAACGGTAGTGTATAATACATAAGATATATTAAAATTATCATTAAATTTGATAACACATCATAGCAGACGCTATTTAGAACACCACATTAGGAAAATCTGGTACAGGTGCATCTCAATAAATTAGAATGTCGTGGAAAAGTTGTGTCAACTCAAATTGTGAAACTTGTGTATTAAATAAATTCAATGCACACAGACTGAAGTAGTTTAAGTCTTTGGTTCTTTTAATTGTGATGATTTTGGCTCACATTTAACAAAAACCCACCAATTCACTATCTCAACAAATTAGAATATGGTGACATGCCAATCAGCTAATCAACCTTTTCCACGACATTCTAATTTATTGAGATGCACCTGTATATTCAAAGAAAGAGCACTGTATAGAAACACTGCATTTTGTTATCACTGACAGAGAAAGATCAATTATTCAACAATGACACACACTCTACAGACAAGGAGGAGGCTTTCTACTGGAACCTCAGATGCTTCCAATATTTATGAGGCATCCGATGTGTGTGTGTGAGAGAGAGAAATGGGCGTATCTGGGAGCTAATCATAAAAACAGGCCGATTCCAGGCCAGACTGTACAGAAAGGGATTTGAGATGTAGAATCCAGCCTTATTGATCTGCACCTCTCTGGCAGCTCCTATGTACTTCAGCAGCACTATGTCCTGGAAACTGACAGCCAAAGGTGATGAGATGTGTGTGAGTGTGTGTGTGTGTGTGTGTGTGTGCGTGAGGTGAAAGTGTGGTTGACAGGCCTTGCAAGTTGGTCCTCTTTGTAGTATTTTGCTATAATTGGGATTTCTGGAGAGTGTATGCATGTCTGTGAGCAAGTGTGAGAGGGTGTTGTGCATAGCGGTTTTTGTCTGACAGTTAGAAAACACTCTGTCTGCTGTCTGTCACTCCAGATCCGCCCTTCCACAGGAAGCAGGGCTCAGAGAGCACGCCATGTGGCGCAGGAGACAGGCTGATCCCTGACATGAGGACCAATAAGACCAGAATTATTCTTCTAAAGACTGTTGTTTATGAAGACAATATACAGTCAAACCACAGAATGTATGTTGCTTCATTAAAAAAAAGGGGAACCAGATGAAAAAAAGGGGGGACCAGAATAAGGACCAAGAAGAATATTTCACCGTAGTGATATATATACAAATATATACAGTAGATAGAAATATATACAGTAGAAAGAAAATTCAGTTTATTTGTGTTGTTTTTCTTTTTGTTTTTGTTTTAGAATTCGCTTTAAATTATATATAATGTAAAACGGTATAATTTAATTTAATTTATATATATATATTATTATATATAATATTCTATATATGTATGTAAAAATATACAATTTAATATATATTCGCATTACAGTAATAATACAGTTTTATTTATTTAATTATTTATTTATTTATGTATCATCAAAATAAAAGTATAAATATATATTATAAAATTATAAAATTACATATATATTTGATTTTGGAATTGAAATATAACCTGGCTATTCTCAGCTTTCTAGAGAATCACTCATAATGGGAACGAAAGAAAGAAATAAATAAAAAGAAAGAAAGAAAGAAAGAAAGAAAGAAAGAAAGAAACTTAGCACTATTTCAGCTATAGTCAGATTGCTTTCCTTGGTTACGACTGCTAACTTCACCATACTACTATGTGACATATTGCATGCGTTGATCATATATGTAAGGTCACAAAGTCCAGGGTCACTTCAGGTTTAGGAGAATAAAGCTGATACTGTTTGAATGAAAACAGAAGGAGAATGTCACTGCACAGAAGCTAAAGATTCCGATGTATCAAGTGTCTTTCTGACAGAGCCTGAGGCAAAGTCTGATGTGATTGGATGTAGAGAGAGAGAGAGAGAGAGAGAGAGACGGAGGTTAAAGAAACAACATAAACAGATGCAAATCAGATGTTCAACCACTAAGACTAAATATTGTATGAAACAAGCCTGGTAAAACGAAACACTGAAACAGTAGCGCTCTGTATGTGCTTCCTCTCTGAGCTGGATCTGGTCTCTATTAGGAGAGGAATGCAATTACACATGAAACAGGGCAATGCTGAGGATACACTACACTCCATCGGCTCTCCAAACAACACACACACACATATTACGAAGCATGCACTGCTGACAGATTTGGGGTGTAAACATTTGCAGACACAGCTTTTGAGTGTCTTTTCCTTGTTAAATTGTACTTGGAACTCAGAGTTGCTGTGTGCGCCAAATGGCCTGGTGTTACTTTGACAAGCTAATAACTTCATATCTCATCTCTGTATGAACAGCACAGGCATCCTGACAGCAGCAGAAGTTTGTGAAATTCTGTAAGAGAATTCCACATTGACAAGAAAAGGATTTGGTGCTCCAATCAAACGCCTTTTCCAAAGGTTTTCACCTATTAAATGTGACTAAAACGTTGTGTTTTGTGAATGTGGGTGTCTGTGCGATTGCATAACCTGAAGGTCAACTGGTTTCCAACCCGTTATCTACCACATACGCGAGCTCTTTAAAGTCAGACATCTACATAATCAGAAGAGAGAGAGAGACGATGAGGAAAATACAAGTGACTCTGCACGATGGGCGACGGCTGAGAATGTCAAAATTAATATAATCTGCCGCTTCAGAGACAGGAAATAAAATAAGACGACGAGACACGCGTTTTGTCTAGGCTGGGTCTTGTAGTAATTACGTGCTGTGAGACTGAGTTATTTAATTATTAGATTGCCATTGTTTCTTTCTAAAAACCTAATTAATTTCTCGATATGCTTCTTGGAAAGGAAAGAGAAGAAGCATGTTGAATTATTACCTGACAGATACACTGATTGTAGCACTCGCTGAATTAATTACCATGTGTGTTTTAGCTGACAGCTGAATAATGCAGATTAATTTAATTGTTTCTTACAAAACTAATAAACCAAGAAAAGTCTTTATAGAAATGCACAGAAGGACATTTGTGATCTGATGAAAGGAACATGGTAAAGTACAGTAATTATATCTTAATCTTTATGAATTTATTACGTTTAGCAATTGGACACTATAGGACAGAATATAACTATGACGAATGACGTCAATGGACTAACAATAAACCAGTGTTACTTTAGTATCATTGAAATAATACAGTTTTCATTAATAGTTTGAATCCATTTTTAAATACTATATTATATTATATTATTACAATATTTTTCATATTACAAAATGGATAATAAATGGATAAAAATTCAACCACACTAGGTCTAGAGCCCATATTACAGTACATATTCTGACATCATTATTAAAATATTAAAATATGCCATGAAATATCATTACAATCTAATATGCTTTTTTTCCCCAGGATTCTTTGATGAATAGAAAGTTCAAAAGAATAGCATTGAAATATAAATATTTTGACAGAGTATACAGGTGCATCTCAATAAATTAGAATGTCGTGGAAAAGTTCATTTATTTCAGTAATTCAACTCAAATTTACTGTCGATTTTGCTCAATTTAATGGATCCTTGCTAAATAAAAGTATTAATTTATTTTTTTCCAAAAAAGTAGTGTATAATAATAATTCAGATAAAAAAAAAAATAAAAAAACATAGGACTTTTTTGTAAGAGTTAACAAGAGTAAAATGAGTAAAATATTAACTCAGTAAAAAGAGTAATAGGACAATTTGCATCCTTTCTCAGCCCTATGATCATTTCCCATTTTTCATGTGTTTTTTATGAATTCAATCCCAGATTTATTGCTTTAGACACAACGTATCTGGTCTGTGACTAAATCTTTTTTTATATGTCCTGAAGGATGATCTTTGTCAAAAGCATTCTCATCCTCTCTCTCTCACTATCACAGTTTGAATGAAGAGGCCTGAGGGATCGTAACGTCTCTTTTGCTGTTCCAGAGCCTCACCTGCACCGGTCCACCTGCAGCCTCACCTGTCTTTACCTTAGGGCCTCAGCACAGAGCAAAAAGAACACCAACCACTGAGGCCCATGACGCAGCTCTGGCTTATATTATCTGCACGGGGCCTCACGACAGATCTGGTGTGTTTCTGAAAATGGGCCTCAGCATGGAGCTCAACACCTACATCACAGACTGTGCGAGTAGAAGTTTGAAATAATGCTTTAGATTGGCAGACGTCTCTGCCAGCGTGTCCCTGTCTCACCTCCCGCGGGGGACATCAATTTCGTCTTTTTTCCAGCGGACGGTAGGCTGCGGGTCTCCCTGCACCTGACAGCGAAATTCCACCGCCTCCTCCTCCAGAACCACCTGGTTAATGGGCCGTCGTAGGAACGTGGGCCTCTCTGAAAGACACACAGTGGAGAAAAGGACATAAGGGACGCAGAGACATGATTCACTCGCTGTGACTCAGCATCCAGTCACAGACCCCGAACAGAAGCTCTTGCAGAGATTTGTGGTATTATGTAAGAGTATCAAATGCTTTTGTGTTCCAGCATGTTTTATGACTAACGTGAAGACACAGGCATAACAGAGTAATTAAACATGACACATTCTCTCACGCTGGAAAAATCGGAATCGTTCAAACTTGCTTGTTTACAAAAGCATCAACTATGAGCTGAGATGTTAAACATTTTCAGAGCATGACTAAAATATTTTTTGGATATTTTAAGGCTTTTTTGTAGTTTGGAAATGTCAGACAAGAGTTGGCACGTACCGAACACAGTGACCTGGGCCGTCTCACTGTCTCTCTCACCGACCATATTGGTGCCCACGCAGATGTACATGCCAGCGTCGCTCTTCCTCGTGTTGGAGATCATCAGTTTCCCTCCACGGATCTGAAGGGGAAGACAGGAACGTTACAGTCTCTGCGACAACTCATGCGATAAGTTACTGCAACACTCTCTGTGATGTTACTTGAAGTTAGATGCCTTGCTCAAGGGCAAAATAGATGTAGTTTATGATTCACCTTTTGATGGTTTTGAAACTGTAATGTTTTTGACTCAAGGCCGGATCATTAACCACCATTCCACACCTCAAATAAAGTTTTCTTTGTTGCAAAAAATGTGTCAGTTAGTTTAGAAACATTCATATTTGAATTATACATGTTTGTAGTATATTGGAAACATGACCAGACAGTTTTTGCCAAGTCTCAGAATGATTTTGCCCTAAAACAAAAAATGTTTTGGTTTTGAAAGTTGTTGTTTTTTTTTGGTCTTGCAAAACGTTTTAGCAAATGAATGTAGATGACTTTTTTGATGTTGTGATAATGATTTGTTTTCTTTAAGGGTTTTAGAGAACAAAGCAAAGCAAACGAAACAAACAACAAAACAAACAAAGCAAAGCAAAGCAAAGTTTTTTTTTTCTTGCAAAAACAAGCAAGTGAATTTAAAGTTTTAATTTTAGATTTTGTTTTATATTTACCCAGGGTTTGGGTAACAAAACAAAACAAAATTAAATTTAAAAATAATTATAATATATTTTTTATAATTTATAAAATATTAATAATATTTTTTAAATAATAAAAAATCAGATCAAATAAAAAAAAAATCCATACAAACAAACTGAATATGAATAGGGTTGCAAAGAGGCAGAACATTTCTGGTAAACATTCCAGAATTTTTGGACACTTTCCAGGATTTTTTGGAAACTTTGGGGAAAATTGTGAACATTTTTGGGAAATTTTTCACCCCTTTGCAACCCTAAATATGAATAGATCCTGACTCTCATTCTCACCTTTATCCTGTTATCCTTCTCATCAAATTGGAATGAATGAACGAATGAACGAACGAATTAATTAATGAATGAATGAATTAATGAATGAATGAATAAATAAATAAATAAATAAATAGTTCCTGTCTCTCCTGTTCTCACCTTGATCCTGTCATCCTTCTCATCGATTCGTACTTTGTCTTTCTTCCAGTAGATGGTAGGCTCCGGGTGTCCACGAGGGGGAACGCACTCCAAGATGGCCGGCTCTCCAGCAGCCACCACCACATCCGTAGGGTTCTGTCTGAAATCATCACGTAACACTGAGAGAGAGAGAGAGAGAGAGAGAGAGAGAGAGAGAGAGAGAGAGAGAGAGAGAGAGATTAGCTCATTATTTAACCATTTGCAAATTTAGTCATGCTTACAATCCCAGAGGCACAAATAAATGTTCTTTTGTTGCTGAAACAGATGTCATTTCATTAAGTCCTCTAAAATGCTAACACACTCCAGCAGTGTTCAAATGTTAGCTCCCATTCAACAGGGTGCAGAGAGACACCTGTTTGAAAGTTCTGTTAAGTATTTTGAGGTCACGGGAACGACAGACGCAGTAAATACAGTTAACCTCATTATAATTTACTAATTTAAATTCTATAATTTATTAATTTAATTTATAATAATTTTATAATTTTAAATTCTAAATTTCAAGGTGTAAATTATTAACTTGAATATAATATAATTTTACATTAAAAAATAAAGGAATCATTTAAAAATATATAATAAATGTTAACAATATAATATGATATGATATATGAGATATGATATGATATGATATATGATATGATATAATTTTACATACCAGACATACAGAAATACAATACTAATCAAATTATGTCAAGATAATTGGCAAGACCACACACACAAACCTGTGGAGTGGATAATATGGTAATGTGCACATATAAATCAGTTTGTTTTTACCATCGTGCAATGCAGTGCTGGTAGCTTGTGTCAGCATCAGAGCCGGCAAAGGTCAGAACGCAGTGGGATTACAGCACAGAACTGGCCTAGAGCAATATCACACTCCTACTGCACTTTATAACAACAACATACTGATCGAGAGAGAGAGAGAGTTGTCTTCATCAACATCATCATCTTCACCCTCCTCCTCCCTAGCATACTAGCATTAACAGCTGCACAAACATTGCTGCCTCTATCCCACAGCCACTCACACGTTATTCTCGCTAGTACAAAATCTACTGAGAATCTCGGTCACAGCACATTTTAACTGTCCATTCATGTACAAACATGTTTTATATGTGAGCAGGGACAAAAAGAGAGTCTCTGTGTCAGGTTTTGTGTTTTTAAAGGGATAGTTCACCTAAATATGATGGTTCAGTCATTGTTTACGCAACCCTAATGTCACTGCAAACCTGTTTGACTTTCTTTCTTTAGGAAAATAAGAACCACTTTACTTTTATAGTCCTTTGTGCACCATTTGAAGCTGCAGTATTGTTTGTGAAATTTAAATGTCGCTACAAACATGTATGATTTTCTTCCTTTAAGAAAGTAAAAGCAACTTTTAGGATGCTTTTATAGTGTTTTGCATAATTTTTTGAATCTTTAAAGCTCCAGTTTCATTGCAATTGCATGTAAAAGAGTGACAGTTTCTTGTATTTTGTTTGATGGAATATAAATACTGACAGACTGTTAAATACACAGACACACACACACACACACACACACACACACACACACACACACACACACACACACACAATATTCAAAGTTGTAAATAAAAACAATTATGAGTATGTTTTACTTTCTATATAAACATTTCATGCATAATTCAATGTTACTTGCATTTCTTTGTAAATATTTGTGAAATTTACTAGCATTTTCTAAGTGAAAATTGTTTCAAATTAAATCAACACCTTTGTTTTTTGTTCAGTGCAGAATTTACATTTTTGGGTAAACTATTCATTAGAAAAAAAAAAAAAAGGACAATTGGAAACACTGTAAAAAATATATATTAATGAGAATATTAGTGTTTTACAAGAAAATACTACTTCAGTTTTTTTTACTTCAAAATTTAATTCAACTTGCGTTTCTCTGTAATTGTTTGTGAAATTTACTAGCAATTTCTGAGTGAAAATAGTTTCTACACCAAATTGGTTTTAGTGCACATATAACAATATCAGGGCTACAATGTAGCAATTACTGTATAAGTAGCTTAATTTTACAAAAACAGAAGGTCAAATGGAGGTGTATGTACTGGCAACCAAACACCTCTCACCTTCAAAAGCCGCACTTCCACCGTTAGCCTAACAAGACTGTCGCTAGCCAACCCGCTAATGACTTCCGCCCCATGCTAACGCCTCCGACTGGACCCTTGGCTCCGGAACACAAGCTCATCACAAACAATATAATTAACTCTTAATGAACCTCTCTGCTCGTTGTTCTGTCCTCTATGTGCACTTCCCAAATTCAATTTAGCCTAATCCCGGGCTTTATGGTAATGTATAGCTCATTAAAATGTTAGCTAAAAACTCATTAAAATTCACTCAAAGTAATAGCTTCATTACTGTGATATTGCTGAAAAGCAAAGACAAAATGAGGAAGATGGGGAGAAGGAGAGTGGAATGATGAGAGAACAGGATAAAAAAAGAGAATGGCGGCTTTCTAATCACTTAATTGTGACTGAAAACAGCATTCATTTGCATAATACACACAGACACTAGGTGGCTAATTTTCACTGTGACTTGGTAATTAAACACCTCTCATAACTAAGGACACAATTAAGGAGGCACTTCTGGGTCTGTAAGAGATGCCAAATGTCTCCATCTTCCTGTGTTAAAATGACACCCTGACCAGCTGCAGAGTGTGGAGACCCGGTGGATGCTGATACCATGGTGTGTATGTATGTATTAGGGGTGGAACGGTTCGCGGAAAAAAATCGAACCGTACAATTCTCCACACACTGTTCGGCACGCGCTAGGACCGCGGTTCAACTTAAATCTGACAACGCATCTGTAATATGGTTTGCTATAAATAGCTGGAATATGAGCATTTATTCCGTCATCACCCGGGTGCTGAGGCGTGCGCACACACAGGTGAGATATTTTAAGCTCAAATATTAAGCTCTCTCTGAAGTATTGTGTTTAAATGGACAAATTCACACAAAAATTGTGTCAAAATGCCGACATAGCCAGCTGAATGTACTGTATCAGCGCACTGGATCAGTGCATTCTCTTAAAGTGACAGCACTTTCTTAATATTAATCAAACAGCAACAACAAAGAAATCACTCACTGCTCTTGACTGAATAGACTTTGTAACTTTAATAAAGATTCATCTTTAATTTATACAGTCAAATATGCAATGCTGTTTTACATTTCATTACTTTATTCAATTTCTGTACCTAAAAACTAATGTTAGACCTACCTAAAAAAAAACTGAAAATCACTGTTTATTTTATTTGTAATCTATTGTATCTATTTGTGCTGTTGCTTGTAGTTAGATAGATTATTCTTATTTATTAATTTATTCATCATTTATTTGACAGTATAGTTTTTCCCTAAACATAGCACATACCGAACTGTACCGAAACTGTGACTCTAAAACCGTGACACAAACAGAACCGTAAGTTGAACCGTTCCACCCCTAGTATGTATCTGTCTGTCTGTCTCTGTCTGTCTGTCTATCTATCTATCTATCTATCTATCTATCTATCTATCTGTCTATCTATCTATCTATCTATCTATCTATCTATCTATCTATCTATCTATATATCGTCGATCTGTCCATCCATTCATCCATCCATCCATCCATCCATCCATCCATCGATAATAAAAAATTAAATAAAATAAATAAAAAGTCTTCTGTTGCCATGCAATAGCTTTGTTTGAGCAACAGATTGAAATTGAAAGTTTTTCAGTGAAAATGTGAAAAAGAGCAGTGTCATCATTTCACACAATTTGTGTTCCACAGAACAAACAAAATCATACAGTTTTGAGAGGAGGAAAAAAAAAAAAAAAAAAAACCGTTCAAGAGAAA